ACCAGTTATGGGGCCACCAAGAGGTGTTATGGGGCCACCACCACCTGTTATGGGGCCACCAAGAGGTGTTATGGAGCCACCAAGAGGTGTTATGGGGCCACCAAGAGGTGTTATGGGGCCACCACCACCTGTTATGGAGCCACCACCACCCGTTATGGGGCCACCACCACCTGTTATGGAGCCACCACCACCCGTTATGGGGCCACCACCACCTGTTATGGAGCCACCACCACCCGTTATGGGGCCACCACCACCTGTTATGGAGCCACCACCACCCGTTATGGGGCCACCACCACCTGTTATGGAGCCACCACCACCCGTTATGGGGCCACCACCACCTGTTATGGAGCCACCACCACCCGTTATGGGGCCACCACCACCTGTTATGGAGCCACCACCACCCGTTATGGGGCCACCACCACCTGTTATGGAGCCACCAATGCCACTTATGGGGCCACCAAGAGGTGTTATGGAGCCACCACCACCTGTTATGGGGCCACCAATGCCACTTATGGGGCCACCAAGAGGTGTTATGGAGCCACCAACGGGTGTTACGGGGCCACCACCACCTGTTATGGGGCCACCAAGAGGTGTTATGGGGCCACCACCACCAGTTATGGAGCCACCACCACGTGTTATGGAGCCACCACCACCTGTTATGGGGCCACCAGCACCAGTTATGGGGCCACCAATGCCACTTATGGAGCCACCAAAAGGTGTTATGGAGCCACCACCACCTGTTATGGGGCCACCAATGCCACTTATGGGGCCACCAAGAGGTGTTATGGAGCCACCAACGGGTGTTACGGGGCCACCACCACCTGTTATGGGGCCACCAAGAGGTGTTATGGGGCCACCAGCACCACCTATGGGGCCACCAACAGGCGTTATGGAGCCACCAACACCAGTCATGGCGCCACCACCAGTTATGGGGCCACCAACACCTGTTATGGTGCCACCGACACCAGTTATGGAACCACCACCACCTGTTATGGGGCCACCACCACCCGTTATGGGGCTACCAAGAGCAGTTGTGGGGCTACCAACACTGCTCATGTTGCCACCGACACCGGTTATGGGGCCCCCGTGCATGGTGCCGGAGCTGGTGCAGGGTGAGCGCCGGGGCCGCCGCGCGCCCACGGGCCCTGTCCCCGCCAGCTGGCGCTGACACCGCCGGCTCCGCGCAGGCGGCGACTTCCTGAGCTTCCTGCGCAGCGAGGGGACCCAGCTCAAGGTGAAGGAGCTCATCAAGATGACGGAGAACGCAGCCGCCGGCATGGAGTACCTGGAGAGCAAGCACTGCATCCACAGGTGGGCTCCACGCAGCACGGCATGGCACGGCACAGCACAGCACGGCATTGCATGACTCGCATCCTGTGGCCACTGTGCACCGGGCAGGATGGTGCCAGGAGCCCTCCTTGGTGCCAGCCGCAGCCGTGGTGGCCTGGCCTGGCTGTGCATGGGCAGACGGAGGCAGCCAGGGGGTCCCAGCTCTGTGCAGAGGGTTGGTGCAGAGCGGGGGTGCCTGGGGGCCCAGCTGCAGCGCTGCACGGCATGGCCTGGCACAGCACGGCCTGGCATGGCATGGCATGACCTGGCATGGCACGGCACGGCATGGCCTGGCACAACACGGCACAGGGGGCAGGGGTGAGTGGCTCAGGGTGCTGCACCGTCCCCAGGGACCTGGCCGCACGCAACTGCCTAGTGACAGAGAAGAACACGCTGAAGATCAGCGACTTCGGCATGTCGCGGGAGGAGGAGGACGGTGTCTACGCCTCCACGGGCGGCATGAAGCAGATCCCCGTGAAGTGGACTGCCCCAGAAGCCCTCAACTACGGTAGAGCCCTCAGGCTGCACAGCCTGGGAGCCTGCACGGCCACGGCCCGCGCGGCTGCGATCCGGCACGGCGGCTGTCCCG